CTCGTGCTTTCTGCGGGCACTGATGCTTGTACAAGGCAAATATGAATCCCTAGAAGCTATATTTATTAGCAGTTTCCACTGGCCCTTTCCAGCCGTGCAAGAGTTGCATGGGAAACGAGGCACTGGAGAATCAACAGTTTGGTTGGTTCCCTTCTGGAGGCAGCTTCTCCGTATGGAAAAGGAGAGCGGGACTGGAAAAGCCCATGAGTCGTGAGGGTCAGTCCAGGGCAGTCCCAAGGTCAATTCCTTCAACATAGCATATTTTTTTTCTGATTCTTTAGTTTTGTTTCTCTGTGCTCCTGCAAGAGCGCAGTGTTACAGGAGCTCAGCTCAGTTTAATAGATGTTATTACCATAGAGGTCTACAGCAGCCAGGGCTGCTTAAATGGTGTCCTAGAGGAGTTAGCACCATTGTTAGTTCTGAAAACTGCAGTACTGAAGTTTTAACCAAGAGAGGCAATAAATGTGCTGTGGTCTCCACAGCTTGGTTTCATCACGGGTAACAATTAAGCAACAAGCGTGACTGTGGCCAAGGGAAGTTAATGAGTTTTCAGGAGGATAGATAAAACAGAGAATAGGGACACTGAGGGAAGCATACGAACTTCACTGCGCCCCACAGCGAGTCTGTTGGGTGTTTTCCCAGTTAGAGCAGTACAGCCCTTTGCCATGACTTCCACATCCAGCTTGTATCCACCATCATCAAGGTACAGCCTCAGTGCTTGTACTGCATGGCTGAGTGAAGCAGTTCAGGTATGTGATCCACGTCGGGGCTGGAATTGTGCAGGCTTACAGGGATATGTATCACTGCTGTAGGATTCTCCCTGGTACCTGATCTTCCTCCTGCCTTTCCACAAAGCTGCCTGCCTTTTCTCAGCAGCACTGTGGTCAAACCCAAGGGCGTGCTCATTGTATTCATCATTTATCTTATCAGACAGAAAATAGTTGCAAACCTCATTAATAGCTGAACACATCTGTGGGTAGTGCTCCCTTTTGGCGATAACGACTTTATTGGGTTTTGTGAGGCCTAAGGGGGGAGGATTATGCCCTAATTAATATCGCTTGCCAGGGGTTTGAAAAGTTGAGCAGGCAATGAACCACCTCCTGGGGGATGTGTCTTCTCCTGATTGTCCTAAGGACCCCTAAAAAGCTTTTGGCTTCCGGTAACAACAGACATTTCTTACTTTGATTGCCACGATGCATGGCCCATCCCCACTCATTTTTGTTGGGTCTTGCCTGGTGCCTTTCTTCTCAGCCGCTGGCCTCTGTGCTTTCTGTTAATACTGCCCTGGTTTCAAGGTAGTCTCTTCCACAGTGTGTGAGGATGCTGGAGCACTTTTCCCCTTCAGGGATAAGGAGTCATTTTAGTTCCTGCATTTCCCTTAACTCAGACCTGGTTCTGCTTTCCTCAAGGACAGATCTGGATGTAGCTTCCTGCAGTCACATTTGCCTAAACTAGTTTCTCAGCTTGCTTGAGATGGATGGAAGTTCATCTGATCCTGCCAACGCTTCTTTAAAGATGTACTGAGCTTGAGACAGTATTCTCCTTCTGAAATGTGGGTCAGTAACTTCTGGGAGCTTTGGCTCAGGGGGGTCAGTCTTGCTGCCCTCAGTGTGAGCACTTACTGCTTAAGGATTGCTCTTGAGCTCTGCAGTTGCACCTCAGACCATCATAGTAAGATACACAGGAGCTCGTGTGAGCTCCTCAGGGCTTGAACTGCAGTTTTGTTTGCAGTTAGTAGCATTGATAACCTCTCTATGCCACTAGCCATGAAATGTTATTTGTACTACCCTCCCACATTAGTCATGGGCAATATCCCCTTATGTGTGACACCGTGCAAAGAGGATGAAAGATGGTCTCTGCTGTAAAGAACTTGCAATCTAAATAAAAGGCAAGAGACAAGGACACAGGGAGACAATGTCAGCAAATAAAGAGCTGCTGCTCTTCTCTTTCCATGGGCATGTTTAGAGAAGAGCCTGTGTTATGACTGTCAAAAACTAATCTTCCCTCAAGGTACGAATATTTCACACTGTCTGCAAGAACCCGCTTAATGATTCAGGAGCCACCCATCCTTTGAGGAATGCTGCCTGTGGGCCCCAGTGCCCCTTCACTGCAGGCAACTCTCTTGCTTTGAGCAGGGAGCTAGTCTCTCTTTTGCTGTCTTCCAAAGGCAGTTCCTTTCCAGCACATTTTAATGAAGCTATAAACCATGTGAGAGCTGCATTATTCCTTAGCTGATGCGTGTGGGTAGTGCCTACCATGATAGGGCCCTAGTGCCGACTGAGGTTTCTTGTTTCTGCTGTGTGTGCTTGATGGTCACTAAAACCTTTGTGGTGTGCGTTCTTCTGGCACAAGAGCGGCCTGGCTGTGGCGAGGACCCATGGAGGCTATCACAATATGAATAATAACATCAGTAACTAAAGAAGCACTGGGGGAGAATTCTTCTGAATTAATTTTTCCTCAGAGTGGAGTGGGAAGCAGGGAGAGGAGGGGATGTTGGGATCTAGACAAGCTCTGTCTGCCACGCTGCATTTTCTTTCCCTGGCCAAAAGGCCCAGGCAATAGGGCAGTGTGACAGATTCCTGCCTATCACTAGAGTTGTCTTCACTGCCCAGGCTTTCCGTGGGCTCGCCCTGACTACAAGATGCAGCCTGTTTCTGCTCACTGAGGTTGAAGCTGGGTCACAGCACCTCAGCACTGTGTGAACAGCTACAATAGCTTTGCTGATGTGCAGGAACCTGCTTGGTGACCACAATGTGCTGGAGCCCATTTGTTTTATTGGTCCAATGCTCATGTGCCAAGCCCGTGGTTTACACTGCTCGTGGAGTAAGACCTTGGCTGCCTTTAGGAAGAGATTCGTCACGGCTGCTTTTTATCCCCAAAGCTGCCTACACAGAGCAGCTGCAGCAGCGCAGGCTCTCGTAGGGCTTGTGCATTCCTGAGCCCCCTCAGAGCTGCCTCTTCCAGAGATGTTTTCTCCTGCGTGAAGCCAAGGCTAACGGCACCATGGCAAATCATGCTGTGCAAACTCCGGCAAGCAGCTTTGCTTAAGTACAGTGGGAATCTGTATTCTGGCAGCTACACTGATGACTCAGGTCTTATGGGAGAAATGGAGCAAATCTCCGATGCTGACAAGGCACAGGAATTTCCTAAAGTTGCGTTTTTTTATTTCTGTAACTAATACACAAGGAGCCTTGTAAATGTTTGAGGAGAGGCAGAGGAAGGAAAGAGCCAGGCAAAGAGGAAGGAAGAAGAGAGGCAATATCAACGCCTATGATTTAGGACTGAAACCATGCAGTCAGCTACTAGGCCCCTGTGTGGTGCTCCACAATCACTGCTCTCCTATCAGTGATTTACCAAAGGCATTCTGTGCATTGCAACACAGAGCCTTTGCAGACCACACTGGGATCCTCTGAGGCAACCATGACTGAAACCCCCAGCCCTGGAGGGCTCTGCAGTCCAAGCTGGCAGCCAAGCAGTTGCTCTGGGATTTGCCCCGGGTGTGCCTTGCTCTTTGTGTTTTACTCTGAGCTGGGGCCACATTCTGCTTTGATTACTCATGTTAATTTTTTCTTCTTTTTGGTTTGTTCTTAATCATCGTGCTGGGTTTTTGTGCTTTGCTCATTAGTGGTGCCTGCAGCATGAGCAGCAGTCCTGGAGGAGGGGGAAAGGAATGTGTGTGTTCAGTGTATGTGAGCAGAAGTGCAGATGCTGTAACTGTGACGCTCCTCCAAACCTCTGCAGGCTGAGCCCTGTGTGCTCTGCCTGTCCTGCAACAGCTCATCACACTGGTCTGTTGGCAGCAGGAAGCCACATGGGTTTGGTGTGCACATGCAAGCAGCTCTGTTCCCACGTACCTTGACACTTAGGAGGACTGAGGCGTGTTGAGCACACTCTCCGTTCTCTGCAGATTCACTTGTTAAGTGGTTTCCTGTGTTCAGGCGGGCTTGTTTGCCAAACAGCAAGTTTAAAAGCAAAACAAACCTCAATCTCCTTTCATTTTTCCAATCAAATCTACCTGCCAAAACTGAGTTTTCTTCCCAGGGATTTATGCTGGCTGATGCTGCATCCAGTCATAGCTGTGCTGGTGTGGATGGATATTCTGAACATTATCCACTTAGAATAATAACCCCCCCCCCCCCCAACCTAGAACCTGTATTTTACATGTCTATTAGAAGGAAACCTTTAAAATTACCCAGATAAGCAGTGCTTTGGCCTCAAAAGCTGTTCTGGTATAGGCAGGTTCATTAGTCCATTGTACAGGTTAAGGAAGTACAAGGATGACCTTTCAGCTTACCTTCTCCAAATCTCCGTAGTGATTAGATGGGACAAAAAGAACTTTATTGGATGGACAGACTGGCGAGGTGGAGAGGAAACAGCAGTGCAGGTAGAACACAGCACACTGTGCACCACAGGACATAAAGCTGGGCTGGCTTCATCTGGGTGCTGCTAATGAGCTCATTGCATGTGATGTGCAATGTGCCAGAGAATCCTCATGTCTTGAAGAAGCCCTGTGATCAGCCTTCACTTCATCATGTCCCCATTTACTGTATCACAGTGCTTTGGGGAGGTCCAGGATTTCACAAGCTTCCTCTTCTGCTCTGGGGCAGAACTGAAATCAAATGGAAGCATTATCAAAACAGATAATGGCTCCACAGAGCCACCAGGCTAAGATACCACAGAATAACTCTACAATTACGTGACTAATTTATTAAAGCACGGGACACTTCGGCTCAGCTGTTTGTTACCAGATCTTCCATCACAGCAACTTGGGACTGAACACACCAGATCCACAGAGGTGCTATAGCCCCACTGCCCACCCAGTTCCTAAATCCAGTGGGGGTGAAGGCCAGAAGGGGAGCCACAAGCTGCTCGGGGCTGACCCCTGGCTCCAATTACACCCAAGGAAGCTTCCTCCTCTTACAGCCTGCGGCCTTATGGCGACGGGCGGGACTACAGCTCCCGGCGGGCACCGCGCTCTGCCTAAGATGGCCGCGGCCGCTGCAGCCGCTCTAGCCCTGACTCGTTGCTCCTCTGGCGGCTCGGCGCCACCCTCGGCGGACTCCCCGGCGCGGCGGGATGGAGCCGCTGTTGGGCTGGCAGTTCGAGGACTCCCTCTTCACCCCGAGCCGGGAGCGGGGCCCGGGCGGTGGGGCTCGGCCGCACTACGGCGCGAAGCACTGCGAGCCCCGCGTGAGGAGCTGGGGGCTCGGGGGCGGCGTGCGGGAGCGGGCTGGGCACGGCCGGAGCCGCGCTCACGGTTGTGCTGTGCCCGCAGTGGTTCCAGCGGGAGGCGGGCGCGGACGGGGAAGACGCCGATGCGCTGACGGGCATCAAGTTCCGGGCGGACTGGGCCTACCGGCGGCGGCACTTTGAGGTACTTAAGGGTTGGGGCAGCGGTGGGTGGAAGCTGAGGGGATGCGGTAGTCGCTGGTGAGCTGGAACAATGTGCGTGTTATGTGGAACCCGCCTGCCAGCCATGTCCAGGAGTCAGTGTAAACCGGCCACAGATCTGGCTCCCAGAGCCGATCCAGATGAGGCTTGCACATCGGAGCTGTTCAGAGGTGAGCAGGGCCGGTGTCTGTGGCCACGGAGGTTATGGTCAGCCAGTTACACATGTGGGCTCTGCTCCTGGGAGTAAGTAACGCCATGTCCCACGAAGGCCGTGAGGTGGCTGGCTGCCTTTCTCTGAGCACCCCACTGTGAGGGGAAAGCAGAACGTAGTTGTCAGGCTCCCGATACTGGTTTATGCACTCCGACATTAATTGTCCCACCTCTCTGCTGCCTCCTGTGCTCTGGATGGCTGGTGGTGCCTTGGGGGTGCGTTTATGTTTACCATTTCTGCACGCTCCTGCTAGACCTTGTCCTCACTGCCTGCTTCCTGCGCTGCACTCCGGGTCATCCATGCCCTCCTGACTCTACAGTTCCTGCTGAAACCAGCTGCTTCTGCCCTTGTTTCAACTGTAAGAGCTTCTTGTGCCAGGCTGTGGCTTGCATTACAGGCTCCCTCATTTCAAAGGCCTCAGGCCGACTTCTTGCTCCACTCCTTTCGCCTTTCCCACTGGATTTGTGGATGTGTCTGTACCTCTGCTGCACCAACTTCTGCTATTTAGTGTTATTCCAACAGTACTGCTGCCTTGTCTATACCCAACAGATGCTTTTCGGGCTCAGCAGAGAGGGCCTGGAGGGATTCATGAAAGTGTGCTGAGAAGGAAGATGCCTCAGGCTGCGGTCGTGCATGGCTGCTGCCCTTGGGAGAGCAGATTGCTCCTTGCTGTGTGCGGTGGTGCCCTCTTGGGGGAGAATGACACCCTCTCAGAGCTGCTAATGGAACAGACTCTTGCTTCCTGATCCTTTTCTGTCACGGTGATCCATGTAAAAGGTGTAGTCTTTGGCCGTGTTGCTAACCTGGATCACTGTGACAGAACCAGAGGTAGTCTGCACATAAAATTACAGATTTGAGAGCACCCACCTTAGCAAGAGGGCTGGGATTAAGTCAGTGGGGTAGTAATCTCACTTGTTGTGAACGGTTTTTTACCTCAGCCAAGGCCAGTAGATAGGAAATGCCAAGGACAGCATTGATTGAAGCTGTGTCCAGTTTTAGAATATAGATGACCGTAGAGTGATAGAATCATGGAACCATTTAGGTTTGAAACAACCTTTAAGATCATGAAGTCCAACCATAAACCTAACACTGACACTACTAAACCATGTGCTTAAGGACTACATCTACATCATGTTTAAATACCTCTGGGGATGGTGACTCCTTGGGATTCATAATGCCTGATCCTTGCCACTTTATATCCCTTTGTCACATAGGAAGGCGAACGTGGGTGTCCTACAGCCCTCCTCTGATCCGTTTTCACCAGTGGCTGCTGCACTCACTGGGTGGGGAAGGGGGGGTGTCCCTCTTTTACTTGGGAAGGAATGAGCTTAACACCAGGGAAGAAAAGTATTCCATCCATTTTGCTAGGAAGTATTTGGGGTAAGTTGCTTGGAAGCTTTTGCTGTTAGAACCAATCAGGTTTGCAAGGAACAATTAAATATTAATTTTGAGAGATGGGAGAATGAGCACTGCTCTTTAGTCTTCTGGTCTGAGCACTTACATGATGCAGGAGGAACAGAGATTCCAGTCTTGGCTTCACTGAATACTTAATGTATTTAAATGTTAATTGGAGTCCTGGTGAGTGCCCTGAGCATTAAGCTACAGAAGTATTGCTCGTTCTTGTCTTTTTCCTTAGCCCAATTAATATTTAATTATTGCATACAAATTAGAACCACCCTATGCGAACAATGGAGTTTCACCTTCCTCCTGGTGTTCACTGACTTGCTGATTACTCATGTGAGGTAGGTACTTGCAGGTTCAAACCTTCCCCTTGAGAGGTCCCCCGAACTTCAGCTGACAGCTCTGATCATTAAGTGGATAGCTAGGGGAAGGATGCCTTGTGTCACGTATTGGCTGGGTTGGTAGATGATCCCTTCTGGATCAAACCTGATGGGGGAGAGGTGGGCAAATGTGTGGTGAATCCAACACAAGTGAGGATTGAAGTTGCTTATCCGTGTCTAGACTTGGCTGTGTAGTACCAGGGCCCTCGTATGTTGCTGGCATAGGTGGTAGCTGAGACCAGAGAAATGAAAATGTGGACTTTAGCTCCTGAATTTCCTTTCTGAGTGGATTCATAACCAAAATGTACTGTCAGACTTGCCTTTAAATGAAAATCCCTCACTGGTTGGTTTGGCTTTTCTTTTTGTTGACCCTGCTAGAAAGCCCTGTGTGAATACTCGAAGTGCTTACTGCTCTTACCTCCCAGTAACATTGCCATGAGACGGGATGTCCAGGAAGGCCAGGCTCGCTGTTTGTCTCACTTAGGAAGGCACAAGGAGGCTCTGGATATTGCAGAAGAAATGGTAAATAATGCAATCTGTCTCTTAGGCTTTGAACATGAAAATATTGCTTGTAGTTCTTTCATATGGACCATTTTCTGGGAAAATAATCTTCATGTGCATAATCCTTCGTGATGTTCAGTGCTCAGAGTATGTGGTAAACACAGAGTAACTGTCACTGCAGATATAATCACTCTTCAGAAATCAGAACACCCTGTACCACAATGAGCTCCCTGTGCAGGGAGGCTGGTAGTCCTGGAAGGGACTAAACATCATGCTCTGCCAGGCAGAATTAATGTAATGTAACAGGAATTATAAGAAAGGGAATAAATGGGTGCTTAAATCTTTCCACTATAAAAGTGATGGTTCAAAACTCCCTTTTATTTCCATACACTCGCTGTCAAACCTCCACCAAGAGGAGTATCTAACTACAAACAAAAATGTCCAGAGGCTCTGAAGTCTGCTAGAATTTGCTGCTGCTGTTTATTTTCTATAAAAGGTGTTTATACTACAAAGAAGGACGGCTGTATAAAACTCTGAAGGCAAATATACAGGTGACAGCATTGGGCCTTCAGATGGGTGCAAGACAGAGGGGATGCTGTCAGTTTGATTGTGCGTGATCTCTGTCACGTATCATTGAAATTAAGAGCACAATTTTGTATAATTTAAAAATTACCTTTAATGGTATTTGTGTGTCATTCTTGAGGGAGGCATTTCCTTAGGCTCTGAGGGATGATTCTGTTCTGCTGGTTTTAATCTATTGGCTTTTGTTTCTAGCAAAAAGGTGCTACTAACACAGATCACTTGACCGTGGTTCTCAACCTGCAGCTTGCCATTTACCAGGGCCTGGAGAACACAGACAAAAAGATCACGTGTCTGCAGCAACTCATCTGCTTACATCCTTTCAACCCTCAATACTGGAAGTTACTTGCTGAAGCTTATATGAGCCTTTTAGAGTTAGTCATTCCAGAAACAAATCTAAATCAGTCTGAAGATGTTGGTGTAAGGGACAGTAGTTTCAAAACATCAGCTGCAACAGAGATTAATTTGCAGCCTTGCAGATCAGATAGCCAGAAAGAAGGCCCTCGGTGCAGCCTGGCTACAGAAACAAAGAGGGAGAATGCAGTGACTTGTAATGGCAGCCGAGCTGCTGAATTCCCCAGCCATTTGGAAGAGCTGGAAAGGACGGACCAAGGGGAATGTGCAACCTCCGAGTCCTGGGAGCAGAACATGCCAGAGAAAGTTGGGATAAAGGCATGTGCCTCGTTTATTAGAGCAAGGTAACTAAACGTGTTCTTGGAATAATGTTAACTTCTCCCAGTTGGGAACAATTTAAAACATATTTTTCGCAACCATAGTATTTTCAGTTTACGTTTTCAGGTTAAATGTTTGTTCCAGCATTGGTGATGCTGACTTGGAAACACTCTGCTATTGCTTCAGCAGAATCGACTAGCATGGTAGCTGTGAACAGCTGCAGTCTTAAGTGGAAAGGGTAAACCAGTGTCATGCACTGTTGAGAAGTGGGTTTTGATGAACTTCCTGTATGAATCTTTTCAAGCAATTCTATACAAAAGGGCCTGTTCTTCAACAGCTGCTCCTGCTAGAGCGTGGCTGTTTCCCGGGTTGGTGTTAAAGATGCAACAGCAGAAGAGACCCAGAGGGGTGGCTGGCCAGTCCTCCTCACGCAAGTGCCACCTGCCTTACTTGCTTGAAGCCTCATGGTTGAGTAAAACCGTATTTTATAATAATATCCCAATCTGCATAATGGATGAGGTTGAGAAATGAACTGTGTGACAGCTGATTGACAGGGCTGCATTAAAATGCTCTTTCTTTTTCTTCCCTCCCTTCCTAAATCTCTGGCACACAACAGAAATCCCTAAAACAGAATCTTTCAAAGAGATAATTAGGAACTGGCTTTGTTAAATTAGTCCTGGATTTTCTTTTCTGCTCTTGCCTCTCAGTAATGTATTAGTCACCAAACGTACTTAAAGCTATTTTCTGAACTTCCACAAATGCTTACAGAGAGCACTTTATAACTGCCCTGATAGGGCAAGGTTTAAGGAATGTAAAAAGAGAGACAATAGCTTTTAACTGTACTCAGACTAAGATTGACTTTAATTGCTACTTGGGAGAAGTTAATAGATTTAGTACTGATATTGAATATTAAAGCTACATTCGTATTAAAATCATGTGTTGTTTTGGTGTGAATGGTTCAGCATTTAGACAGTCATAAACTGTGGCATTTCCTTGCTTGGCTACAGTTTCACAAAGGGTTATTATGGCTCATATTTGCAGATACTTGTCCAGGGGAAGTTCCTCCCCTACCCAGGGCTTATGCATTCATTAGGCTGTCTAATATTTTCAGCTCTGTTGGATTTTGAGATGTGGACATTGTGTAAATGTGAGTGCAGGGTAAATTGCAGCTGGAGAAGGGATGCTAGGATTGCATTTTGTAGGCAATAAGGTTCTGTGTTAAAGCATCAGGAATAATTGACTCTCCTAGTTTTGCCAGCCAAAAAAGGGAGAAATGGTTTTCCTCAGTTTTCATTGAGATTTCATCCTTTCATACCTTATAGTGATGCAAATTTTGAAACAAAACCACAAAATAAAATACTTTCCGTTTTTACTTTGAATTTCCCAGTCCAAACTTTACTGGATTTACAAATGATTTGTTGGCTCAGACCAACACATTTTGATGTTTATAATGTACAAATGAAAACTTTAAGGTCTTAAGTCTCATCTTCATAAAAACACGCAACTTGATCATAAGACCTGCTTCATTTAAGTCCATTGAATGTGATAAGATAATTTGTTGTCGTTTTTTATGCATAAAGCTTGAATTAAATATAGTTTCAGTAACGTTACTGTGCAGTCCCACTGGTCCTTTGGTTTTACAGTCCTAGTGTGAGGAGAACTCTGGAAACTGCCTCAGCTCTCTCAGTTGGTGATGGGGTGCCCCTTGTGACATGAAGCTACATTGTGAGCAGTGTCAAACCTTCACCAACCGTCGTGGTGACTTCTGGGGCACTGCCCTGAACATAAAACTGTGGTTAAAGGTTTTAGAAAATCCTCCAGGGTTGGCCTGTGTGTTTGGTATTTGTCTAATTCCCCACATTTGTAGCTTTCCAGGCTGCAAAGACCATCACTGCCCTAGGCAAAAACACGCTGCTGGCTTATTAAGCCTGAATAAGGATGTGGGACTCCTGGTGTGCTGCAGTTGATGCAAGCAGATCCGAGCTTCACTTTTGAAATGTGTGGTGGATACATGGGGAGAAAAATGTTTGTGCAGAGCAACCAGGGAAACTCAGCATGTTGTTTTTTATTACTCGTATCACAGCAGGGATATTCCATACCCATGGTCATTGATAGGGATGTATGAATTTCTTTGCAGTTTTTGCAGTCAGCAAAATTCCAGAAGAGCTGTTTTAAAGTGTGATATTTTGGTTGGGTTTAGGTTCACTGACTTTTCTGCCAGCTGTGCTTTTTTTAACTGCCTTTTGCATTTCAGGCTTTTACTCCAGCTTACCCAGTCACAACAGTCATCCTTTGCACTAGAGAGGAACATTAAAGGTCAAAAAGAGATTGATGGCAAAGTGGCACGACTTGGTTTCAGTGAAAATTCCTTGCTTTTGATGATCAAGGTAAGGGGCTGTTTCCTTGTGTGTGAGTTCTCAGCTATCCTTAGGCTGATTGAGGTGCTTGAGCCAGTAGTTTAGGCACAAAATCCTATGACTCTCCTGAGCTAATGAATGGAGCCAGGAAGCAAATTCAGTTAGCTGGTGGGTTGCCCTGGTACTGTTATCTGGAGCTGGCTTGTGTCATGCAGGTGTATCCCTGTTCTGCTGAGATTTTCCTTTTGGGAATGTTCAGGGTTGTTAAGTTCTTATTGGACTTTTTATTTGCAGATACATCATCACTGTGCATTACCTGGGATGTAGATTTTATCTTGTGAATTTTAGATGCCACAAAGTGAATGACAAGTATGAAATGGAAGTGGAGATTACTTTGTTGGTCACGCCAGTGTTAAACATTTCCAGAGAAAGCCAGAGACATCCTTTCACATGCTTTCTGTGTTCTGCTTGCTGTACTGCGTTCTAGATTGAGAGAAATACAGAGGAGTTAACATTGAGTGACTTTATTCATAGAGGTTAAACATTTTTAGTGCTATTTATAGAGTTTCTGACTTTTATCTAAAGGAACAAGAAGAGGCTGTGGAGGTTCTAACTTTGCTGTCAGTACTACAGCGTTAAGTGAGTGGAAGCCAAGCTACTGCCGGGTTGGTAGGCAGTCTTGTGGGCTTTCATCCATGAGAGGGCAGCAGCACGCAGACTATCAGGTTTTGGAAAGGTTGAGGAAAGAAACTTCTCCCCTTGCTTCACTTGGTCCGACACCCCCAGGAGTAGATGAGGGTGCGGGTGCTGTTGCAGGCTGAGCACACAGTTGGTGTTGAGATTCCCGCTCCTACTCAGAGAGTAAAAATCCCGCTGTAGGAGCATAGGCAGAGGCTGGGAGGGTTGTGCAGGTCTGGAGCTTGGATTCTCTGTTCTCCCTGTATAATGCAGAATGCAACAGGCAGAAAGACAGCTTGATTGTGGCTTGGAAACTTCTGGACGGTGTGTGGTTCATGTGTCAAGGCTTGTCTTGTGAAGATTTGTTATTCATGTAATATTTGCTGTTTTCCCTCCATTTATTTTCTTGTTTCCCATCTTCTTTCTTACTCTGCAGGTTATGGGACGGGATCTTACACCAGAAAAAGAGGAATTTCAGGGTGAGGTGAAATGCATGGGCCCTTCAGTGCTGTCATCACTGGTAACTGCATCAGCCACTGAATTTGAAATCAATTGGTTTGGTAACCTCCAAGATGACTTATGTCACTTTGACAGACAGTTCTGTTCAGATACACATCTCCCACCTTTGGTAACTTAATGGTTTTGTTGTATTTATTCTCATCTCTCAAAATGATGAGGGAGTGATACATGCAATAAAGTTCATACTACATTTTGTAAGAATTCTTGTTGTATGTCTTGTAAGAACATATATATAAATCTCTTCATCCAGACTCTTCTTAACCTCTCATTTTCTTTGTTCACGGTTTCTGTTCAAATTAATAAGGAATCCGGTATAAAAGTGAGCCTCCAGTTCAGCTTTCCATCATTAACCTCACCATGTTGTGCTTGACATGCCTGTGACTTTGAGGCCTGCAGTGCTGGTGGAGTGGAAGGCTTCCTTCATGATGCCCAGTTTGAAAGGTTCTTGGTATCACATCCAGTGTTGTTCTATTTAAAGCCATGAAAACAGCCATTTTCTTAATGATTTTTTTAGTATTGATGAACTGACATTACAGGGATTTCCTGCTCAGAGGTGGATGGCTAGAAATATGAAATACATTTGTGCTGGGAAATTGTCAGTAATTCCATCTGGTTCAGGAAAAAAACATCCAAGTGGTAAATCACTTGGAACTAGAAGGAGATTTTCTTTCTTCAAAGTTAATTGGTTTTTGCAGGTTTAGAACCAGCTACAGTTGTGTCATCAGTGTGCTGAGATGAGGAAGGAGGAAACTGCCAGGGTTGTTCATATGTACTGAAGAGGGTTTAATCAGATCATATCCTTTGTAGAACCCTGAGAGGAAAAAGATCTTCACTGTGAAAACTGGAAGTGTCATTTCTGTACCATACAGCTCCTTATGTTACGCTTTCAGTTGACAGTGACACCACTTTGCTTGACTTTCCAAGGCAGTGATGCTTCGGGCTCCTACAAAAAAGGCAGAGATTATCCTGTAGTTTGTGCTTGAAATAATTGACATTTGAGCCAAACAAGATGTGTCTTTCCTCATCTTCTTATAGACTGAGACTTCGATTCTTCATAGCTTTTTGTAAATGGGGTTTTTTAAGGGATATAGTTTAAACCCAGGAATCTCTCAGACATCATTTACTGTGACTTTTCTTGATGTTTTCTTTCTGAAGTACTAAAGAGTGCTGAAACTCTGCATAGCTCACAATTGAATGGTAATTCACCATATGTGAACATGCTCTGTATCTACTACTTTTAGGTGAATTTTAAAGCTTTAAGATGCTGGTTGGGGACCCAGTTCCTAACTCTCGCTATGGTACAGCCCTCTGAGAAGTGGACTGTGGAAACTCTTGGAAAAGTGGAATATCGCCTTCAGCCATGTCCAATTATCTTTGATAGTTTGGTGACTTAATGCAATTAAACCACATCCTGGTCAGCCTGTTACGAAAGATGATGACTTTGCAGTACACTTGGGTAAGCATTAACACACTCAGAGCGTGTTACAGAATATTTGGTTTAGTCATGCTTGCGCTTTGCTAGGTAGAAATTCTTGTGTGTGTGCGTGGAGCGCTGTATTTGTATGGCAGTGAAGCCCGCCTGAGGGGCTGGGGATGCTTTTAAGACTTAACTTGTGTTGTAAGTTTTCAGCAGAGACTGTCCATAACATGCTGTAAATTAATGATGATGTTGGAGTCAACAGTAGATGGTCATGCAGCAAAGACACAGCAAATATGGAAAGCTTAGTGCCGGATGTGTCAGCAAAAAAACGGAGCAGGGACTTCTCCTTTTCTTAATCTGAAGGTTGTAAGTAGCCACATAAGATGGCTCTCATTTGTTTTGCCACAGCTCTCAAGTAGGTTCAGTTGTTAAGACACCAGAACACAGCTTTTGTGGAGCCAGGTCTGTATACTTAATGGGAGCTCACCACATGAGTTTGCTTCACTGTTTAGAAGGTGGAAATAGCATTGAAGCTATTACAGCAGCAAATTAAATACTTGCCAAATGCTGTCAGTTTGTGACGGAGGTGTCCAAAGTACACAGTGGTCTGGAGACTGTTTGGTGTGCGTGCAGTGTTTGACTTGAGGTGGTGTCTCTGGCGGGGAACACACCAGTTAACTCCCTGCTGGCTCTGGAGTGGAAGGCGAGCAGTAGCTCTTACCAACAGGCAGTATTTTCTCAAACATAACAATAAAGCAAAAATGTTGGGTTAAACTACTGCAAAGCAAACAACATGAACGTTGTTCTGAACGTGTCGCATAGTTACTGTCCCAGATAACCAGTGCTTATTGCACTGGGGCTATGAAATACTCCTTTGTTCTACTTGTGCCTGGCTATCTCTCATCTCAGCTACTTCAATTCCTCCTTTTTTGGCCTGCTCCTTGCTTCTTTGGCATGCCACTTCCAGCGCCAGTTTTCTGTTTCTGATCGTATCTCACGAGGGGTTTTGTGTTGCTGTCTTGCATTTTGAATGCCTCATCGTTGCTTCTGTGTTCTGCATAATTCTACATCTGCCTGCAATAGATTTCTTCATGTTACAGCTCTTATGAGCCCAAATGATCTGTGATTGCATGGTTATTGGTATTTGTACACAAACCAGTGCTCCATGCTGAGTTAAATAGGAAATTAGAGTATTGCAGATTGCACGTGAGAATCCATTGACGGTTACTGAGGTTTGATTTTGTTAGTTTAACACTTGCTTATGTTGCAGATACTTTGGGAACAACCCTCTGATGCTGGCTGTGATGCTTCTGGAATGGTTTCTGTGTACAAATACAATCTAATTGTGTGTCTTGCTTTTGAGTCTTTGAATGCTGCTGGCTTTGAGGTGAGGGAACACGATAGTGCTGTAACTAGTGTCATTAACGCAGTTTTCTCCATCACAGAATCACAGCTGGTTTGGGTTGGATGGGGACTTAAAGCTCATCCAGTTCCAACCCCCTGCCACAGGCAGGGACAGCTTTTACTAGACCAGGGTACTCCAAGCCCCATCCAACCTGGCCTTGAGCACTGCCAGGGATGGGGCAGCCACAGCTTCTCTGGGTACCCTGTGCCAGCGACTCAGAACCCTCACAGTAAAGAGTTTCTTCCTAACATCTAATCTTAATCTCCTTTCAGTTTAAAGCCATTCCCTCTTGTTCTATCACTGTGTGGTGAATTGACCATGGCTGGCTGCCAGGTGCCCACTCAGGTGCTCTATCAATCCCCCTTCTCAACACGACAGGGAATGTAAAAGTAAGATGAAAAAATACAAGGACTTGTGGGTTGAGTTGAAGTCAGTTTAATACAGAAAAAGCAAAGGCTGGGTGCAGAAACAAAGGCAAACAAAAATCTTCAGTCTGTAATTCCCAGCAGCAAGCAATGTCATTGTAAAAGTGAGTATGTCAGTAGTACTCAGTTTGCTTATAGGGAATCAAGACTTACAGCACAGGGTCCTGTTTGTACCCCCAGCCAAGAGACATCTTCATTGCTGGCCTTAACAAGGGGTTGAGCTAGTGCCACTTTGCCTTCTTTACAGTACCTGCACATGCACTGGAAGAAAACAAAAACATAAGCAAATCTGAGACAGGACCTGGGGCTCTGCAGAGCCCCCTCCCCAACTGCAGCTATGGTGCTGGGGTGCTCAGGACAGTAATCTGGCTTCTGCACGGGCCCCTGCAAAGCCTGGATAAGCCTCAGAGCACTCTGGAGGGGAATTAGCATCTTTAGTAGGTTGTGTACCCAGATCTGGATGCAGTGCTCTAAGTGGGGGTCTCATAAGAGCAGAGTAGAAGGGCAGGATCACCTCCTTCGACCTTCTGGTCACACTCCTTTTGATGCAGCCCAGGATACGGTTGGTTTCTGGGCTGAGTGCTCACTGTTGGGTCATGCCGAGCTTCCCATCAATCAATGACCCAAAGTCCTTCTCCACAGGGTTACTCCCAATCCCTTCATGCCCCAGCCTGTACTGATACTGGGGATTGCTCCACCCAGGTGCAGGACCTTGCGCTTGGCCTTGTTGAGCTTCACTGTGCTCACTTGGGCCTCCAGCCTGTCCAGGTCCCTTGGACACCGTCCCTTCCTTCCAGTGACTCAACTGCACCACTCAGGGTGGTGTCACCATGAACTTGCTGAGGGTGCGTTGTGCTGCAGCGGTGTTTGTTTGAGCCCTTCCCACTCAGCAGAGGGATGCGGTATGTCAGCATCATCAGCATGTATCAGTGCAGGGCACTGACCCTCCTGCCAGTTCATTCCTGTAACCACAGGTTCCCTCATCACTGTGCATTCAGGCTTGTGGGGGCCTGCTAGGGGTTTTGGCAGAGCTTGCTGAAATTGTAAACTCATTGTTTTCCACCCAAAGTGAAATTGCATTCATGTGATGTTCAAGTTCAGCCATCATCTGAACTAGCACAAGCTGTATCCCCGATTCAAGGCTGAAGTCAGCTCTTGGTTCACCATGTGGATCGTTAGCTTGTCCCTAACCTACTTCTTTTATCTGTGTTCTCCAATGTGCCTTGTAGGCAAATGATCTTCCCCCACAGAAATGAAGATAGAATCATAGAATCATAGAATAGTTAGAGCTGGAAAGGACCTTAAGGTGATCAAGTTCCAACCCCCCTGCTATGGGCAGGCACACCTCACACTAAACCATGTCACCCAAGGCTCTGTCCAACCTGGCAGGGATGGAGCATTCACAACTTCCCTGGCCAACCCATTCCAGTGCCTCAGCACCCTTACTTCTTCCTTATATCCAATCTAAACTTCCCCTGTTTTAAGTTTTAACCCGTTACCCCTTGTCCTGTCACTACAGTCCCTAATGAAGAGTCCCTCCCCAGCATCCCTATATGCCCCCTTCAGATACTGGAAGGCTGCTAAGAGTTCTCCATGCAGCCTTCTCTTCTCCAGGCTGAACAGCCCCAACTTTCTCAGCCTGTCTTCATACAGGAGCTGCTCCAGTCCCCTGATCATCCTCGTGGCCCTCCTCTGGACTTGTTCCAACAGTTACATGTCTTTTTTATGTTGAGAACACCAGAACTGCACACAATGCTCCAAGTGAGGTCTCACAGGAGCAGAGTAGAGGGGCAGGATCACCTCCTTCGACCTGCTGGTCACGCTCCTTTTGATGCAGCCCAGGATACGGTTGGCTTTCTGGGCTGCGAGCGCACACTGAAGCCGGCTCATGTTCATTTTCTCATCGACAAGCACCCCCACGTCCTTCTCCACAGGGCTGCTCTGAATCTCT